ATTGGTGGACTGTAGGTGGCAGTGGTGCGGGTACATGTCAAGCAGTTATGCACATCAGACAGTTGTTAATACTGTGAAAATGAAAGCAATTGTTTAAGAAAACAAGGGTGGACCAAAAAGGAGAGAGGATCAGAGGCTCAGAACCAAGGGTCACCCTGCAGCAGTGAGAATGGCATGCGGCTGGTGTGAAACACAGTGGGCTAGAAATTGTCCCTCCTCGACACCCAGGCCATACACACAATTATACCACTCACAACCAAAAACAGCAGAAGTCTAGACTTTTCCTTTACTACATTAATTGCGGTGAGCCATTCATATTATTCTATGCTGTCCGGAATTCTCTTTGAAAATGAGATTGTCTCTGCAATGTGTCCACAGTGACTGTGTTTGAGGGTACGTATGGACGCCGTGTGCTCTAGGTAGGACTTTGTCAGCTCAGGGTGGCAGCAGCCAGACAGGAAGGAGCAGCAGGAGTGGTGGGGTGGCTGGAAGAGGGTCAGAAGAACCGGGCTGTGGGAGCTCAGGACAGAAGGACTCACACGCTGTAACTCAGCTCAGCTTGGTGAAGCTCCCTGGAGAAGATCCCTTGACTCAGTATCATTGTCTGTCTGTCTGTCTCTCTTTGGTTTTTTGTTCTTGTCACTGGTTTTTGGAGACAGGGCCTCACTATGTAGTTCAGGCTGGTCTTGAACTCACTATGTAGCCCAGGCCAGCCTCAAACTTGTGGTAATCCTCCCCCCTCAGTGCTAGGATTACAAGTGTGCTCCACCACTCCCAGCTCAAGACAACAAATGAGCAGAGAGTTATTTAAACAGGGGTGATGGCGCACACCTGTAATCCCAGCATTCGGGAGGCTGAGGCAGGAGGATCACCACGAGTTCAAGGCTAGCCTGGGCTACATAGTTATATACTGTCCCTAATGATCCTAATAAGTACCTAAGCCTGAGGACCACTCCTATGCTTCCTGGTCCCTGAAATCCTGCTCACTTCCTCCTGCTTTCCAGGCTAATCTCCCTAGCTCCTCCTGTCCCCAGGAGGAGGACACTGCCCGTGTTGCTCCTCTTCATCAGAACAAGATGCTGCTAATGTGACTTGGCAGGACCATTCCCTACCCGACCCCAGGGCAGGCCGGACCGGCTGCCCAAGGCCAGAGCTGCATCTCCTGTCTCAGCCTCTTGACTTTCAGTCTCACAGCTTTTTCTCTTCACTGCCTGTTCGAGATGGAGCTAGGAAAACAAGAAACAAAAGCCAGCTCTGTTCTTGGTTCACTTAAGATAAGGCTGGCATTTTTGAAAAAGACGTTTTCTAAAGAACTAAAAAAAGGAAACAGAAAAACACAAAGGAAGTCAGAGGATGAATTTAGCATTTTTAGGTTTCTAATCAGAACTTGTTTACCCTCAGTTTGGGCTGCAGCACCGGCTGCTGAAAGTCTTCCCCAAGGTCCTGGTTCAGTTCTGCTCGAGGTGAACTAAAAGGAGAAGCAGTCGAAGTCGATCCCAAGGTAAGACACAAGGAGTCTGCACACCTGTAATCCCAGCACACTGGGAGGCTGAGGCAGGAGGTCCCAAGTTCAAATCAAGCCTGGGCAATTTAAGGACACTGTGAGACCCTGCTTCAAGATAAATCAAAAGGGCTGAGGTTGGAGCTTAGCTTGAAGGCCCTGGATTCATCACCAATACTGCCTTAAACTAAAACAAAGACACCTCCCTGCCTGGCAAGTGCAAGGTCCTGAGTTCGAGTCCTGGTTCCAAATAAATAAATAAATAAAAGAAAAAAGAAAAAAAGATACAAGAAGTCCTGCTCATGAGGAGCGTTCAGTAAGTTTGCATTCCAACAAGGCACAGTGGTTAGAACCCTGAATTCTTGTTCCGTGTGTGTTTGGATTTTCCCTTTTGCAGGACGTCTGGGGTCCTTCCTTGTAGATGCCCGAGCAGACAGATGGACGGATGGGAGAGACCCTGGGAAGCGTGGGCTGAGAATGCACCCACCTTTCCTGGGCAGGGCTGGGTGAAATCGGCCAGGTACAGCGCTTAACTGGGGGTTGGGGCTGGGACAACCCTCTCCCCCGGGAGCGGCCAACCTTGCAGTCCCGCCAACACCTGGCTGCCCCCAACCTGAGGCGCCA